TTGGAATCATCCGGTAAAGTAACGGTCAATCTTAACATTAATTTGTTGTTAAAAAAAACAACAGACTGATCGATTGAAATAATAAACACGTTTATTATGAAAAACTGTTTTTCGGACCCTACCCGATTTGGTGCATTATTAGATCCTATATATACATGATATATATTATATCAGATGAAATCAACGTAATTTTTTTCTGAAATAATCAGTGTTGATAGAATTTTGCAGTGATCATGACGCAACAACCGTTTCTTTTCGCATCCCCTTTGATTTAAACACTTCTTATTCTCGTGATAAATATATGCATCTAGTAATATGCAATTGATTTTCTTGTGTTTAACCAGGAATAAGAGAATTTTGACTTGGAATCTTTTCTTTTTTACGAAAATTGTGACGTAGACCGAATGGCTGAAAATTTTACCAAAACATACTTAGACTTACCAAAAAATAAATAATGTAAAAAAGTAATTATAAGACCAAAAGGTAAACCGTGGTTTTATTCAGATATAATGATTATGAGATCGGTTACACAACCATTTGAAACGGAATTGAACAGATTCCCATTTATCAAGGTATAAAGCACAGAGAACAAGGTCAATAAAATCATCAAATCTCGAATCTTATTGGAGGTTAGTTAAAATTTACCGGGAAATATAAAATTTGATAATATACTATCATAGCAAGATAGTATGTCCGGTGAAAGTTTAATAAACGAAGAAGATAAAGCAACTCTCCTTAAGTTAATTAAGGATTCTAATAGGACAAATACGGTAATTTAAAAAAACTGAAGCGAGGGTGGGTATGCCGTTTGTGTGGCTGTTTTATTTTACCCTTGTTAGATAAAGCTAAAAATTTCCAATAAATCTATAGCTTGCATGAATAACTTCTCAAATAGATATAAGAAGATGTGGTATGAGTGCCAATGAGACAACTCTCCATCCAAGTCACAATTTGTAAAAGTAAACCATTATAGGTTAAAGTACGGCCTTCAACACGGAGCTTTGGCTCACACCGAACAGCAAGCTATAAAGGGCCCCAAAAATGACTAATGTAAAACCATTCAAACAGAAAAACCAACGGTCTAATCTATATAAAAAACGAGAACCTCTTATGAACCACATCAACAAACGACAACCAATGAATATCAGGTTCCTGACTTGGGACAGGTGCAAACAAATGCAGCGGGTTTTAAAGTTTTAATAGGCGCCAACCTTCACCCTAACCTGAAACAATAGTGTAACATCACAACATAGAAAGACACACTAAAAAATATCAATTCCAATGGCTTAACTCAATCAAAAGACGTATTAACAAAAACAAGTGAACATACACTGAACGAATAAATTTGATCTATGACGCAATGTAAATACAAAATTAATAAAACAAGGGGGTTAGATGTAAAACATTATCAGAAAGACAACCATAATCTTGGACAAAATACCGCCAAACAAAATAACGTACACAGGTAAATAAAAATAACCGCTAGTAAAAATGTGTTTAATTCTTTTAATTCTCAACCCCAACATATGCCATTTTTAATTTACATTTTTTTCTCGTAAGCTACCGTCAAATCCACAGTTGACATTTCGTAACTAAGGAGCCGCCATGTTGACTTGCTGAAATCAGTAAATGTGCAAATAGTGCAATAGAATAGAAAATAAACCAACCCCTACCTCAAAACTGCATTTTAATACAATATAATCCGAATTTGGAGGGTTTTACGTAACGGAAAAACCTTCAGCTTTAGCGTTTTCATTCGTATGACGTCATGTTTTGGAATGACTTTAATGCGCCAAAAGCATTAATGGAATTTCGCGGAATTTTAATTTATTTTTTTGATTTTGTACATTTTTCCGAGCTCTAATGCATTAATTCTTTTTGTTATGCATCAGAATAAGAATAAAGGTTCTGTAGGTTTTTTTTCAATTGCAATTTTTAACACAGCGAAATCGGCAAAGCGTTTGCACATAGGTTACGATACATGTGGATTTACGTGGGAGGTATATTGTAAAAGCCATTATTATGTACATCTCTTAGTCTGTGCTAAGTATAGATAAATCGAGAATTTTATCACGGTGTTGTTTATAAAGCAAAAGAAGCACGTCATATTATAATACGTTTTTCAGTTCAATATCTAATTTAGAAAATTCAGATAGCTCGCCTCCAGAATTTGAAAATAGAACAGATAAACATGTTGATGTCCCATTAATAACATAAGATGAAATGAAAGCAACTTTCTTATCCTTCTAGCAAATTAGTGAAATTGAAAATAACTCAAATTCTGACTAAGACATTATATGCAACTGGTCTAAACAATGGAAAGTGAATTTCAATCCACAAATAACTGAATATATGGTCTCTTCAAACTCTCGAATAACTGAGAAACCTGCTATTGTTTTTTAATGGCAAAGAAATACACTGTATAAAAAATCATAAACATTTGGGTATAACATTTAGTTCAGATTATAAATGGAGTTGTCACTTTCATAATATTATTAAAAGCACGTCGAAAAGTCTCCTTTTAGCAGAAATTCAAATTTTCAATATTCTCTCAGCAGACAGAACCTGGAAAAAATGATTTTACCTACGTACTTCCCCTGCTGGGATGGTTGTATCAATCAAGACATCATAAAACTGGAACAAGTTCAAAACGAAGCAATTAGAATTGGTTTGCCGAAATTTTCAAGTATTGAATCATTATATTTTGAAACTGGGTGGTAATCTTTACAATCAAGAAGACGCAGTAGAAAATTGGGTTTGTTCTATTAAAAAAATGTTTCCTTGAACCTACTAGATTGCTTACAAACTTTTCACGAAACAATAATGAACGTATTTTAAGGAATACAAGTGACTAAAGAATACATGTACCACTTGCCAGATTACAACAATATTGTATTTCATTTTTGTCTCGCCTTGACGGAGTCACAAAGCGAGACTTAGGCGTGCTGTTTCCGGCGTCGACTGCGGTTGTGGCGTCAACAATTTGTTAAAGTTTGTGACTAGGTCAGTTAAAAAGGAACCACTTATGGTAAACCAATGAAATTTGGTATGCAGTTGTATTAGTATTGGCACATCACATTTTCATGGAGATTATATTGCCCCACCCCCTCAGTCATGGTCTATTGACTTAAAAACAATTGGTAAGTTTCAATGTTAAAGTTTGTGATTAGGTCAGTTTAAAGGGAACCACTTATGACAAGTCAATGTTATTTAGTATGCATTTGTATAAGCATTGGCACATTTCATTTCCATTTAGATTAGTTGGCTCTGTCCCCTCAGTTATAGCCTATTGACTTTGAAACTTTTGCATAGTTTATATGTTAAAGTTTGTGATTAGGTCAGTGTAAGATGAACACCTAATGGTAAGTCAATGATATTTGGTATGCAATTGTATTAGCATTAGCACATCCCATGGAGTTAATATTGCGCTTCAGTCCTGATTTATTGACTTTGAATATTTTACATACATATTGCTATTACTATTTTGATTTCAACATTTGCATTTAACTATCAAAATTACATACATGCGAGACATATCTCTGTGTCAACAGTTTATTTCCTTCTACTATAAATTTATGGAATAATTTAGAATTGGAATTGCGAAGTATCAACAATTGAATTTTTAAAAAAGCTCTGATGTCTAATGATTACGGAAAACCTCCTTTCTTTTATTCAACATGTAATCGACATCTTAATATTTTACATACAAGAATTCGTCATCAATGCAGTGAATTAAATGCAGATTTATTTAGAGTGATATGTGTGGGTGATCCAGGTTGTGCCTGCGGATGGGTAATTGGAGATTCAATTCACTTTTTCCTTGAATGTAATCTCTATACATGAGCAAGAGAACAATTAAGAACTAGCTTAAATTTTCTTACTGAAATAAATATTGAAACTTTACTGTTATAGTAATATTACATTATCTGACGAGCTAAATTCAAGAATTTTAAAATCAGTTAAGGTACATCGGGTGTCTTCCGCCTTCTTGGATTGTAAAAAAGCAGAAAACAATCGGTCTAGATCTTCACTGAAATGCGCAAATTTTGAGAGAGGAATGTCATTCATTTGCAAAACTTTTCATCTAAATGAAGAAAATAATGTGTTTAAACTGATTTTTTCAACTGTTTTTACAAATATAAAATAAATTGTTTGATTAAATTTTTTTTCTAGATAACTCTGATAATGTAAATTTTATAAAGGAATGTGTTATTAATTTACCTATTTTATTTTGTAGCAAGAAAACGAGTCTCGTGACCCTAATGTTTCTTTTTTTTTTTTCAAAAAGCACATTTGAAGAGCTATCTTCTCATACTTTATCTTAAAATTCTATCGTTTAGTTTTCTTTTTATCACACAAAATACGGTTTTCATGTATAATCTGTACAAAATCTGACAATTTTGCACAACCCATAGCTTGAAAAAAAGCCCGGTAACATGTTTTTGAAAAAAAGCATGATATAAACACCACATTTTGGTAAATTATAAAAAGATTCTATGGATTTAAATTTAGACCCCCCCCCCCCCCACCCCAATCTCCCCCCATCTCCCTGTGTAAAAATATAAGAGGTTCAGTTTCTATAGTTGTATGGTTTTCACGTGATAATAATTGAATATATAATTGTTGGTGACACTTGTTTACTACTTTATTGATATTGTTGGGAAAGGACCTTTGTAAGTTGTGATAACTTGTGTCGGATTTCTTCGTTAGCAATATAATGTGTTTAATCTAATCTACTCCTTTAACCAAAATCTGTTTTTTTCCCCTATTTTGGATGTTAATATCAACGTTTCATTATCACAGTTCTACAAAAATAATTCTATTTCACTTTCTCATCAATTTAAAACACTTTTCGTTGTAGAAAAATGAACTTAATAAGGCCCTTGCCGCACCTACCCCTTTAGATGCTGTTTTCATTTTGTCACTGGCCAAATATTCTTTCCGCTTTTATCTTGACCAACTTGCATAGATTTATGAGACATGATTTATTTCTTTTAAAGGAATTCGGATATTGGGTTCATTTGCTATATCAGATTCAGAAGAAGCTGAAGGTCTTTCTCACTATCTTTCAAATGTTGACATATACAGCAATAGCTGGGGACCTGGTGATGGTACTGGTTTTAATGGACCAGGTTCTGTAACAAAGGCAGCACTGCAGGATGGAGTGACTAATGTAAGTTATATATATATATCTATATATATAAGTGCCTTTAAATAGACCTTTTCAGCAACTCTCGACACCGACTATTGACACCTACAGTTTACAGGAGAAATAGAGGGGTCGTATCAAAGATAACAATCATTCAGGTATTACATGCATGTAATATAAACGTAGTACACTACAGGTATTATTTAAAAAAGAACGGATATTGTGCAAATAACTAAACTGGATTTTCGGTGTTGTCCCCCTTTCTTTCATATAATACTAATCATATGTAAAAGAAAATTATGAACCATTTCACTTTCAATTCTATAAATCTTTTTTTTTTAAATTCGGAAATCTGTTAACATCCGAATCTATTGCTTCTTCGGTAATATGATTATTGATATCTAGTTGTACGATTTTTCCATGGAAGACTGCTTCGCTTGCCAATAGCCGTTAACTCGTTTTTGGAATGTTATTTTATGACTCTACATTTTATCCTCCCCATAGTAACAAAGTTAAGGATAGGACATTTTAACCGCAATAACGCGTCCAAAACACTTGTGAACATTGTAGAGGTTGCGTCTCAGCAGATATATACTTGTTGTACATATTGAATATACTTGACTGTTATAAGTTCCCGAATGAATCAGACCTTGTCCCTTTGTTTTTGATACATTTTCTCCGTTCCCGGGCATAATCATCACGGGAAACACGTATAGTGTGTTGTAAGAAGCTAGAACTGCTTACCCTGTCGGAGAATTTGCGTGGATCCCAGTTTTACGGAGTCAGTGTTTTCTCGTATAACTTTGGTCTTCTATGAGAAAATTTCCCTTTTCTCTTGTCCGTCCCATTTTTTGTTCTTGATTTTCCAGTTTGTTGATCTACGCTTCAGTTTTACTCTCTTATCTAGTTTATATTCCCCATTTCCATTCTAAATTTTATTACTATGCGTCTCAATGGTCTTTTTTTTTTATTTCATCGCTGACCAAACACAGAGGGAAATTTAGGATCCGTTTATATAATTAAAACCCCCGCTGCATATGGTATGCCCCTTTTCCAACCCCGGAATATGTTCGTCAATGGTATATTTTTTTCTCGGTAGAAATTTTAGTTTACAATATTATGCTGCGGCCTTGGATTTTATCTCTTCGTTTTGTCGGAGCCGTTCAGATCTCGCCGACAGTATTGAAGATCACTCGGCAAAATGTCTGTTTAATGTGTTGCATTGTGTGATTTTAAGCTTTATTCGTGCCGTGTCCATTATCCGTGCCTGCCTTTTCTCATTATTGTCAAAGTCTGTTTTGTGCTATTTGAATTAAAAAAAATATAACCAAAAAATGAAATAGGACATTCGCCTTATCTAAATGTTCTGTACAAATTGTCACTGAATACACATTTTTAAGTTGAACATATAGCATGAGTGAATTATAAAAAAAAATACTAACTTAAAGTATAAAGTACATTGTGAAGGCATCCGAGGCAAAAAATAACGGACTTTGTATAGACATGTGCCGCCCTTGTCAATAGAATAAAATAATTGTCTGTTTACATATTTACAACTTTTTTTTTCATTTTGCTAGCTTAAAGTAGCTAGAATCTCCTCTTCTAAAAATACAGAATATTCTAATATGACGTATCGTTTGTAAACAACACCATGATAAAATTCTCGATATATCTATACTTAGCGCAGACTCAGAGATGTGACTGTTACAATACACCTCCCACGTAAATCGAAATGTATCGTAACATATGTGCAAACGCTTTGCCGATTTCGCTGTGTTAAAAATTGCAATTGAAAAAAAACCTACAGAACCTTTATTCTTATTCTGATGCATAACAAAAAGAATTAATGCATTAGAGCTCGGAAAAATGTACAAAATCAAAATAAAATAAAATTCCGCGAAATTCCATTAATGCTTTTGGCATATTAAAGTCATTTCAAAACATGACGTCATACGAATGAAAACGCTAGAGCTGAAGCTTCTTCCGTTACGTGAACCCTCCAAATTCGAATAATATTGCATTAAAATGGAGTTTTGAGGTAGCTGCTGTTTTATTTTCTATTCTATTGCATTATTCGCACATTTACTGATTTCAGCAAGTGAACATGGCGGCTACTTAGTTACTACATGTCAACTTTGGATTTGACGGTAGCTTACGAGAAAAAAATGTGAATTAAAAAGGGCAAATGTTGGGGTTGAAAGTTAAAAGAATTAAACACATTTTTTTCTAGCGGTTATTTAAGAAATAATTCATGCAAGCTATAGATTTATTGGAAATTTTTAGCTTGATCTATTAGGGGGTAAAATAGAACAGCCACACACACAGCATACCCACCCTCGCTTCAGTTTTTTAATCACCGTATTTGTCCTATTAGAATCGAAATAATTCATGGAAGCCATAGATTTTTTGGTAATTTACACATGGCCTGGGCCGTGATAAAATTCGAATATCACGTCCCAGGCCATGTGTAAATTTCCAACAAATCTATGGCTTTCATGAATTATTTCTTAAGAATATTAAAGATTTCCCTTTTATTCATTCATGAGGGTCTGGATGGGGTCCCTCAACTCTGTATTCTATTTTTTTTTAAGCATTTTCCCCTATTCTTCTTTTATTTTGCCCATTATTCTCTATTCTTTATTATAATTTAGCACTTCAGTATTCTCTATTCTTTAATTTTTGGGCCTATTTTTCACTATTTTTTCCCCATGATTCTGTAGTATAAGTCCATTTATGTCTATTCTGTAAACCCCATCTAGACCCTTATTCATACTCAATTTAAAAATATAATTAAAGAATTTAAATCAGTAGCTAGTTTATAACCAAAACAACCATAACTACTTTGAGACGACCACTTACATCTTACCTGTCGTAGTCGTTGTCAACTTTAGGTGTAGATAATTGTTGAAAAGGTCTACTAGCAACACATAACAAACAAATCTATTTGAGTGTGGAATAATCAGTACAAAGATTAATACAATTACACAAATGAAATTATAAATTGCCTAACAATGTAATTTTAACACACTATTTAGTATGTAAATATAAAAATGTTAAAAATATTTACAATGCGATAAAAAAATAAACGCAATATTTCGCTAGACAAACTAGCTTCATCGAGCGTGCATCTATCCAAGTGAAATCGGATGCAGATAAGAAACTTTTGCAGCTCATTGTACATTCAATTATAGCTGCATAATAAAAATATTCAAATTTTGGATGGAGTTTAAGATTTTTTTATCTAATTACGAAATTTGTTGTTGAATTTTGCAACGTCCATTGGCCAATATTACAGAGATATAAAGGACGATGCTATAAAATTAATTATTCTTTATCTTTCCTGTATCTTTTTCGTCTTTTTCATTAAGCCCATCAGGTTCCAAAGTATGGAGCTGGTGGATCCAAAAGTTTTCTCTCCTCCTTCTCGCCGTGGTGTCCCACTCAGTGTTAACTTCTATATTTGAAAAGTAACATTATCAAAAGGATGTTTCGTTGAGCGAAGATGTCTTGTGAGTGGACAGTTTTTGTTGGTTTTGTACCATGATCGATGGTTATTTAGCCGAATATTAAATAAGTCCATTGTTTCTCCCACGTACAGAATGCCACAGGTGTAACATGTTAATACATAAATTGAGTTCTCCATTTTAGAGTTGGAATTTGTGTAGATAGTATAATTTTGTTTTGTAAAGGAGCTGATGAAAGAACTGCTAGTGACAGTTGTATTAACAAAGCAACCTACTCCACATCCTGGTTGCTACAAACAATGTGGGAGAAGGAATTGCTTATGTTGTAAAGCTGCCAATACTAGCAGTTCTTTCATGCAATGAGGAACAGTGTTACATTTTGTTTAAAATTGAACAGTATAAGCGGCAAATAATGCTATTGAATTTAGAACTGAAACATTGTTATCGCAAATTTTAATGCGGTTTTAAAGGTTGGCTTAATAGAAGGAGGGTTATGGTGTCCCTGTATCGATAAAAATAGTGGTAATTGCTCCTTTTCACCCGTATATTAGATTAGGAACAAAGTGTTTCCTCTTACTAGGACAAATACTAAGCAATACAGGAAACGTTCTACCTATTTCTCGTACGTTTAAGGATTTATTTTAAGTTTTTCTTGAGATTTGAAACAAAATCAGCATTTTTGAAACTTGTCAAACGTTGATGAAGAAAACTTTATTTATTTACTGTATCACAATATCCCGGTTTTTTGGATTGGTTCGTGTTGTTCAGTCTTTAGTTTTCTATGTTGTGTTTTGTGTATTTATTCTTTGTCTTTTGGTCCTTTTTTCGTTTTTTGCCATGGCATTATCAGTTTATTTTCGACTTATGAGTTTGAATGTCCCGTTGGTATCGTTTGCCTCTCTTTTAATTTCAATTGAGAAATCAGGGATTTAATAATCTTTACAATAGGTAGAAATGCATCAAGAAAATTACTTTTTCGTTCCGTTTTTAGGCGTTTTATTTGGGAAACTACCAGTACGCTTCATTTTATAGAACGTTGCATCTTTTGTTTTTTGTTTGTTTTTTGTTGTGTTTTTTTTTTTTTTGGGGGGGGGACTTTTTTTTATTGGAAATGGAAAGAAATTTTTAAACGTATTCAAGTTTACATAATATTGTTTTCTTGATGAGAAAAATATTTTGTTTAAATTTCTCAGCTTAGCCGTTTAAAAACATCTATAATACTAAATGAGTCAGATCTGGATTTTTTTTGGGTCTCTTCTCCAACTACCATATTAGATTAATCAGTGTAAATTTGTGTACTTAAGCTAGCATATACAATGCAGTTGTTAGTGTCAATTTTCATTATTTATTTCGGATTAACTGCGGAATATTTTAAAAAAGAAAATTATTTCCGAATGTGATTTAAACCTTATAAAATATCCAAACAAAATGCAACACAACGTACCTTAATGAATCAAGATAGGTCTAAAATCAGACAGAAAATTTCAAACAACAAAGTATCACAGCATTCTGAAATGAAAAAGTAAATTGGTTTCAGACTAGTTAAATTGAATCTATCATAAACGGAATAAATTAATTGAACATGACAAACAAAAATAGCTCAATTTCTTCTTTCAATATAGTAATTAATATGTAATTTATCACCTGACAATGTGAAAATTAAAAAATAACCATGATAATCCCCCTTCCTTCGAACAATTTCGTAGCTGTTATTTACCGGTAGTAGTCTCTATTTAAAAAAAAGAAAGAAAAAAAAGAAGAAAAAAACAGAAATAATTTTCTTGATGTTCAATATAGTATCTTTTATGCAATTATACATGATTGTATTGATAGATGATGAATGATTTTTGTAACAGACAAAAGTAAAACAGTAGAAAAACCTACCACAGCCCCCCCCCCCCCCCCTCCCACTCTACGCAAATCAAACTTCAATAATACACTTATATAGGACAAGAAAGGAGTGCGTCTGTGGACTTATTGGCCGCAACATTCCGTGAAAATTTTGTCACGTAACTATCTAATGGATTTTAGATGAATAAAATACATATCAAATTAGCTGATAAATGAAATAATTACTTAGGGGCATATAAGCAGTAATAACTGTGCCCGTCGATCAAATCTTATTCTGTATAAATTAGATCTTAATATTGTTAAGTTTTTAAGGGAAAATTTGACCATTAGTTTGGCCAAAAAATATTAGGCTAGAATGTATACCACACCAATATACGTAATTTTAGATTACACTTATTTTGGTATAAGGATGTAGGCAGAACAAAAAAAAAAACTTTAAAATACATGAACATTAATCATTCTGAAATATTCTCAAGGTTTTTGTCTCTTTCCTTTCCGCCATTGTGTTGTCGGCCTTTCGCCGTCTTATTGTTTCAGGTTGGAACTTGATTTGTCATCCATTTTTAAAAGCTTATAATATGTCTAACGAAAATGTAACAATGCAAAACTAAGTCTTTTAATGAGAGTTGTTGATTGAAGAAAATAATGTTTTTTTAGGGGACAAGTAACAGTGTTATAGACCTTCAGTCTATTGGCATGTAGGAGAAAACCTAATTAAAAAAGAGTCAAATATAGCTCTGTTGTAGGTTTCCCCATTAAATATATAAGTTTGGACAACAGCCTTACAAAAATTTACCCACAAGATGACTTAAATGAAATTATTGGTGCAAATTAGAAAGGCAAAGGTTGTTGGTGCAAATTAAATAAGGCAAAGGTTGTTGGTCATATTTATATTTTTGAAAGATAGTAAAATGGCCATTCTTGGTCAAAAACTCAATGATGACATGCTCATTGCATTACATGGACTTCGTATTTGACATAATGGCACCGAAGTACCAGGCTTTGATCAATTTGATTATATTTCAAAGGCCAAATAATTGTTCTCATCATACATGTATTTCCTCCTTTTAGGATCCAGCATTATACCTACCTGATCCTAATTCTTTGCTATGAATAACCTTAGAATGAAAGCAAATGGGCGTAAAGTTTTTCCATTCGACCTATTCTTATAAATTACAGCAAATCTTTTATCAATCTTATTGTCTTGTGCTTTAGCTAGAACATTCCGTGATTGGTTTATCAAACATATTTAATTAAATGTAAAGATTGATAATCCACAACTCTTCTAAAACTACAAAATATCATTATGCTCTGTAATGTGACATATAAAAATAAGAAGATGTGGTATGATTGCCAACGAGACAACTCTCCACCAAGATACAAAATGACATAGAAGTTAACAACTATACGTCACCGTACGGCCTTCAACAATGAGCAAAACCCATACCGCATAGTCAACGATAAAAGGCCCCGAAATAACAAATGTAAAACAATTCAAACGAGAAAACTAACGGCCTGATTTATGTACAAAACAATGAACGAAAAACAAATATGATAAACAGCAACAAACGACAACCACTGAATTACAGGCTCCTGACTTGGGATAGGCACATACAGAATGTGGCGGGGTTAAACATGTTTGCTGACACGCCAGACCCTCCCCCTAACCTGGGAGAGTGGTGGCAGTACAACAAAGTAAGAACAAACTATAAAAATCAGTTGAAAAAGGCTTAACTCATCAGACTCGACACAAAGCAGACAAACAACTAACAAAAACACTGACCGACGTGATAGGGTATTTATACATCCCCACAACAAACATGACACTAAGAATAGGTCTGAGAGTACTCGCATATACTGACAGCTAGTTCAATACGATGTTTGTCACGATATGATTGTCTGAATGTTCTTTGCTATACGTCCAGTTGCAAATATTTCATGCATATTCAGTACGATAACAAATTAACAATAAATCCAATAGGTAGATTCTGCAAAGATGATTGATCGGGATGAAAGGCGGAAAATTAAGTTTTCTACTGGAAAAAAAAGAGGCTCTGTTGCATAAGGACAAGAGTTTTATCGCGTAACAGACCACCTGAAAACAGAACTCTTCTAAGAATTCTTGTGAGGGCTTTTTTTAACCTACAAAGAGCAAATGGCACTCTCTTTTCACATGCTACAAGAGACATCAGATTTCACGTCGAAATGTCCAGGCCTGACTTCTTATTGATACATCCCAAGCAGCAAAAACGGACGCTCCTCCTTAGCATGTTTTTTTTTTTTACGGATTGGGGAATTCCAGGTGACATGCATATTTCTATTTCCCGGTCATATCTTGGGGTCTGTTATAATTTGTAATTACAATAAATGCTTTTTCGGAGTTTATTTTAAATATTTTCGTACTTTTTTCCATGCATGCGCCATTAACTTTTAGAGTAGACAAACATATTATCAAAGTACAACAAAGAACATAAACTCCAACGGACCGCAACGTACAAAAATAAAACCAAAATGACAAAACACAAACAAAATTTTCAAACAACAATACACCATAATGTATCTAAATATAAGAAAAAAAAACAAGATTGGTATAAAACTTACAAAATGGTGTCTATGATCAAGGGAAGAAACACAAATGGACTTGACAAAACGGTTCAATTACTTCTCTCGAAATGTATAATAACCTACATGTACGTTATTTGTTGAATTGCTTTCAGTGCTCTTCAACTTCGTACTGTATTTGGCCTTTTTAACTTTTTTGATTCGAGCGTCAGGTATAAGTCTGTTGTAGATTAAACGCGCGTCTGGCGTACAAAACTTTAATCCTGGTATCTATGATGAGTTTATTCGATACCCTGGATATTGATAAATTAATCTAATTCATGTGGACGTGAACTCCTGTGTGTCTTATATTATATTATGAATATATATATTGTCTATAAGAAATAAAGCATAGTATTTAATCTAATTTACATACTGCAGGGAAGGAATGGTAAAGGAGCTATTTACATATTTGCAGCAGGGAACGGAGGTACAGCAGACAACTGTAATGCTGACGGCTATGTCAATAGTATTTATACTGTAGCCATTTCTAGTGCAATGATTGGTTCCAATGCATGGTACTCTGAAGTGTGTGCTCCTGCCTTAGCTGCAGCGTATGGTGGCAGCCAAGATGACAGGTACCTGGTAAGTCTTCTGTTACACTACAAAAGTATCAATATCCTACAGCCTTCAACTATAGATAACAATTAGAAAGTTCATATTTTCTTCCAAATATAAATAAGAAGATGTGGTATGTGTGCCAATGAGACAACTCTCCATCCAAGTCACAATGTGTAAAAAGTAAAACAATTATAGGTCAAAGTACGGCCTTCAACACGAAGCCTTGGCTCACATCGAACAGCAAGCTATAAAGGGTCTAAAAATGACTAGTGTAAAATGATTCAAACAGGAAAACCAACGGTCTAATAAAAACGAGAAACGACACACTTATGAACCACACCAACAAACGTCAACACTGAACAACAGGCTCCTAACTTAGGACAGGTGCATTCAAATGCAGCGGATTTAAATGTTTTAACAGTTGCCAACCTTCACCCTAACCTGAAACAGCAGTGTAACATTACAACATAAAAAGACACACTATAAAATATCAATTGGAATGGCTTAACTCGATCAAAAAGTCATATATTAAACAAAAACGAGCAAACGTACACTGAACGAATAAGTTCGACCCATGACACAACACATACCTTAAAGCTTTGTTTTAGGGCCCCGTCTACTGATCTTGTTGTGCCAGGTGTTCAACGACAATGATGGATATGCATAATATGTTATTCCGAATTGATTCCTAATGTCAAATTTGTTAAAAATCTTAAGATCTTAAATCCCACCCATTTTCAGAAACATCTATTTGTGCCAGGACTTTTTATCAAATTTGATATAGTTAGTAAAAGTTATCGCATGAATACTGGCGAATACTGTCCCGAGTAGATTTTTCAATTGCACGAGCTTGCAAGTGCAATATATATTATACCATGGATAATATTCGTCAATAAGCTTGATTCAAGCATAATTTTTTCACTGATGCCGTCGATGATTTGAAGCTATGTTTGCACTGGTGTATTCTCATAAAATATTGCATGCTGACTTTTCGTTACGTTCTGTGGGAAATATTATGTTGCTGACATGAACAAATCATGGATACGGCAGTTTTTGTAAATTACTGAAAACTTGCACACAAAAATCGTTCGAAATATTAAAGTGTTTCTACCCCAGGAATAAATGGCCGCTGCCAGATTTGGAACAACCTTTTGGAATCTTTGGTTTTCAATGCTTTTCAACGTCCTTATTGGATTAGTCTTTCATTTTTTTTATTTGAGCGGCACTGTTGAGTCTTGTGTCCACGATACGTCTTGTTTACAGAATTGATAGCTTTGTATCTTTCATGATTTCATATAAATGCGATAGATTTTTGTGCCGTTAAATTTGTTTCAGCCGACGTCTTTTATTTCTAGGCCAATAAATTGGGAGCAATAAATATTAACAATATACATGTATGAATGAAAGTGTCCTGAAAGTCCCAATGGGTGAGAAACCAAGATAAAACAGTAACAAAAACATCCATCTTCATTTTTCCAACAAAGATAGTTTTTTTTTATATAAAAGGTAGCCTGTAAATATGGATAAACAGAGGCGGATTTAGGGGGGGGGGGGGGGGGGGTGGGGGGGGGGGGGGGGGGTGGGGAGGCTTTTGTGGGAAAAATTTGGTTGATTGTTTAGGGAATCACTGAAGCGGGCCCCCTCTTATGGCAGTCAGTGCCCCCTCCCCCCTTCTTAAAATTTCTGGATCCGCCACTGATATAAACATTTTTGAAATAAATAAAAGCCAGTTTATGTACACATGGAAAGTTTTTTTTTAAGGCATTTGTTATTGTCGAGTCTTAAAGTATTGGTAGCGTTGAATTTAAGTAGTTTATAGGGTCTAAAAAACAACATGGGAGATAAATCATTCCAAAAACTATTTATGCCTATGCATTATGTGTACTTATCTTTTTCGGCTATTAGTTCTATGTATATTGGAAATATTGGATATATTTATGACCGTATTAATGATGTGATTAAATGTATTATTCATAAAATTGAAACAAATATATGAAACAGACAATTGTATATTTTCTAAACGACAATCAAGGTAATCAGCGACTACTTTTATAATTTAGACAACAACTACAACATCATCAGGATGTATAAGTGATGGTATCCAGGGGACGTCGTACGCAGCACCTATTGCTTCTGGTATTGTTGCTCTTACACTCGAGGCTAAGTACGTATATGTCGCTGCTGGAATATGCCTCGAACACTAGAAGTTAAACGGTATCATCACGTATAATTAATGGGATTTGCTTCCATGAATTGTAATATGATTATCTAAAGGCGTTATTTGTGTTCCTCTAACGCTCCAGGCGAATTGTATAGCGACCAGTCTTGCGCTTTAATATTCGGTACACACATTATGACCATTTACAGCTATTGTAACTGCTGTTTTAACACACGAAACAATATATCACCACTTACAGCTAATTGTACTATTGTTTCAATATTCAAGGTAAAATCTACGCCTCTAACTATTGATACTTTTGTTTTACCACTCCGAGCAAAGCAGCTTGTATCTTTGTCGTAACAATGTAGGTAACCTGTCGTTTGGTTGCTCTTCATTATGATGTAAACAACTAAAAGAAACAATAATCTAACAGAATTGCTGCTCTTAAAGTCAAGACAAAATGCGTTTAGCTCTTCCTAGTCTTGTACAGCTAAACACTTCTTAGCATAACATTATCGAATTTATAGCTGACACAACTGCTACTTTAACAATCAAGGGAAAAGAGTTATCAGAGACAGGTATAGTTACTCTAGGCAAACTATTGACCTTTAACACTTACTGGTGTTGCTAAGACAGTCAAGGCAAACATAGTATCTAACATCTTTGCTTCAAAACTTGAGGCAAAGTAAGAAAATGTAATTGCTATATAAAATAGGGAGATGTGATATGATTACCAATTAGTTACCTATCCAACAGATCACAAATGAAATGGCTTTTAGTACCTATAATTTGATTCAGTTACCTTAACAATACTCACTGGGAATATTCGAACTACATACTGGTAAAAGGTAAGGTTAAACATTATGATAATACAACGAATAAGCGCAGTCTGAAGTAGATTCTAAACTTTATTTCAAAAGGTGTTTAACAAAATTAAACTACAGTCATAAGTTTATATACTGTTAAAAACATCAAACTAATATAAATATAGATATAGGTTACGCAGATCTTTTCTAAATAATTCCTAAAGGAGGTCATGTAATGTTTCTTTTGTTTGACGATCCCTGTCCGAGTATTATAACGAGTAGGATAATATATGTATTTATACAAAGATTACTAGTATGTTCATTGAAATCCAACACATCACTACATACACGGAAGGAAATTTTTGCAGTTTATTTCTCCTTATTGTATTGTTTATTCGGCAAAATTGTTCTATTTTGGCAGTCCAAATCTGACCTGGAGGGACATTCAACATCTGATTGTTTTCACATCAAACAGGAATGGTTTAAATGACACGTACTCTGATTGGTCAATGAATGGAGCAAATAAAGAATGTGAGTTTCGAAAAAATAATAAATGTAATAAAAAGGTATAGAACACACCAGTGCAAGCATGTCCCATAGAACTCACCAGTACAACCATTTCCCATAAAATACCGATAAAGAATGTCCTATATAACACCAGTACAAGCATGTTCCATAGAACACTCCAATACAAGCATTTCCTATAGAACACACCAGTAAAGATTGTCCCATAGAACACCAGTACAAGTATGTCCCATATAACATATCAGACTGATTACAATGTACAAGCATGTCCCTTAGAACACACCAGTACAAGCATGTCCCATAGAACACACCAGTACAAGCATGTCCCATAGAACACACCAGTACAAGCATGTCCCTTAGAACACACAGTACAAGCTTGTCCCATAGAACACACCAGTACAAGCATGTCCCATATAACACACAGTACCAGCATGTCCCATAGAACACACCAGTACAAGCATGTCCCATATAACGCATCAGTCGAAAAAATCCCTCCGAGATGCTTGAAATTTACAATCTATATAATGGTTTACCATTGTGATAAATATGCAAGCCATCTAAGTATTTTTGATGAAAATTATTGTATTTTTTTCAAAAATCATTATTACAGTGCATGCTATATTACATGTATCGTTATGGTTTAGTTATTCAAATGAACAGATTAATATTTACTATACACTTGCTTGTTTCCTTACTGTTTACTCTAACTAACGTTGGATGTAACATACATAGTTATTAGAAAGAAAAATTAATACGAATTGAAAAAAAAAAATATTGTTTAATTGCAAATTCAGTATACCTTAAGACCTTTAAAAAACCTGAAGTTGGCTTCGAAATTATTCAGAACCATGCCGATACAGGTAATACTTTACTTAAGGAATTGGTACTATGAAGATTTATACGGGCTTAAAATGGTTGCCCTTAAAATTGAGAATAACAACATTTAAATAAATGATGTATCATTCAATAGACAACGTATAACACATCAACATTTTAGAAAAATAAGATAGATATATGATATAAAACAAGATGTGGTATGATTGCCAAAGGGATAACTCTCCACCAGAGACCAAATGACATAAAACATTTAGAGCATTTCAAATGTGTTCCAGAATCTTATAGAGAAGTAATAAAGTCTGGATTTTGACGAGGGTGGGCAAACAAAACAACCAGTTACATTTGTTGATGTAAGAAAGCAACTAATAGGGGGAATAAAATTATAACATTTCATAATAAACAACTTATCTTTGAAAACTGGATCAATAGTGATATACATGTTATATATCTAAATGACATTCTAGATGACACCATGTCATTGTCAGACTATTTTTTAACTAATTGAAGTGTAAGGTAAACTGGATTGCCGAATTTCATAAATTGAAACAATCTATTCCAGAAGATTGGATCCGCATCGTTAAAATAGAAAATTCTGTTTAACGTATAATAGTAAATGTTCATAGAAATAAGATTACATGGAAAAATCGTTATTCTGAAACTACATGTTTTTCAAATAAAATTTTATATAATTCATTAGAATGCAATAAAAAAGAATCGTCAAGATGAATAAACAGATGGCTGAGAGTTCTACCAATGCAAGAATCTCCAAATATGAATTCATTGTTGCTTCGCACCACGGTGCGAAGCTATAAGTTTCATACGATATTCACACCATCTTGAAATTATTATGCAACAAATATCGATTCTCACTGGTTGCCTTATGGTGTGAAAAAGATTATATTGGCTAGAATGAGATATAGAATAAGAAACATGTCCCGGACAGGAGAAGATATTAAATACAATATCGAGTCAAATTCAAATTGATAAATAAGAGGAGGGACTAATATGAACAAGTTACTGATTGACAATCTGACTATATATGCATATACACCAACACTTAAAATAGATATTACTGCCAATGATCTTCAAGAATTTTGTCGGAAGGCATGCATTCCGTGTTATAAAACCAAATGGTGTATAAATAACCAGCTACGCAAACAGTACGTGATACCCCCGCATCATGCATTATAATTTTTGTGAGAATTATCTGGAATATGTAGGAAGCATCTAATAACAAGTCAGTAAAATGACCATAGGAAAACTTGCATGAAGATAATAATGCAAATAAATATTGCGTAAAAATTAATGTTAAAAGTCCGATAACTCTGGAACGACTAACCATAAAATTAAAAAAATCTCAAGCTAGTCTAGATTCACCAATATCAACACAATGTAAAATGAATTAAATTGATGCAAGCATCATATTTTTTATTATACCTAGTGCATGACAAGTAAAATATTACCTTTTATTAATCTGACCGTCAAATTCCCAGTAGCGGTGGAATGAAAAAGCATCAATTTTCATAATAAAACGATAGGAAGCTTCCTTCTGTCAATCCTGGTGTTCCGTTAAATTATGGTGGGAATTGGTTAAGGCACATTTGAGTTATTGTAGGAAATGTTTATTGACAAACTACAGTATACCATAATACGTCCAATCTAATGCGTGCTTATAATACCACTTATGAGTATATCCACACAGGAGATTAATAATACCTTTCCAATACTTAAACAACAAAATAGACCACATCTTACTTAAAAGTATGATACAGCGAAGCAGTCCAAAGCTTTTCAGAAAGCTGAAACTTGTATAACAACAGTATACCATAATACGTCCATTCTAATACGTGCTTATAATACCACACTTATGAGTATATCCACACAGGAGATTAATAATACCTTTCCAATACTTAAACAACAAAATAGACAACATCTTACTTAAAAGTATGATACAGCGAAGCACTTTAAAGCTTTTCAGAAAGCTGAAACTTGTATTACAACAGTATACCATAATACGTCAATTCTAATACGTGCTTATAATACCACACTTATGAGTATATCCACACAGGAGATTAATAATACCTTTCCAATACTTAAACAACAAAATAGACCACATCTTACTTAAAAGTATGATACAGCGAAGCACTCCAAAGCTTTTTAGAAAGCTGAAACTTGTATAACTGTATATTTAACTGAAAATGAATCTTCAGATGGAAATTATTACAGTTTATTATTCCAACAAAAAGGCTTTTATTGCAATGGAAAATAACAAACAACAATATGTGTAATGTTTGTGACCTAGAAGAAACTTTACTCTTTATTTTTTGAATTGTTCTTATTTAATAAGATTTTTGGCAAATATCTCTTAAAAAGAAGTAATACAGATGTTGTAATAAAACTACAGCACCTAATATTTGGATACAAAATCATAGACAACAAGTATTACTCAATATTTTTTTTATAATTACAATACTTAGTTTTTCTATATATAAGTAATATTATGTATCTGAGCAGAAAACAAAAAATATAGATTTATACATAATTTTTGTGAATGAATATAATAAGAGAGTAGACATTAATATAAAAGGACATATTATAGATAACACGCCAATGTTACTAACAATTAAAAGAAACGAAAGCAATGACTACTTTTTATTAGTGTTTTTTAATGTTATCTAAACAAAAATGTGTATGTCAATAAATCTAATCAGCTGATTATTCCCTATGTAGTCACATTGGAGTGTAACAGGGTACGTTAGAAAAAGCTTGAAATCCTGATGGTTTTAGTGACAAGCAAGATTTGATGAATAAAAATATACTGTTGAACAATAAAATAAAAAAAAAAATAAAAAAAATAAATGATGTGTAATTTAATAAACAACGCATAACACATCCACATTTTAGAAAAAAATAAGATATATGATATAAAAATAAGATGCGGTATGATTGCCAATGAGTTAACTCTCAAATAGAGACCAAATGAGATAGAAGTTATGAGTCAACGTAATGACACATGGAAAACAATTCAAACGAGAGAACTAAAGGCCTGATTTATATATAAAACTGTGAACGAAAAACAAATATGACATACAGCAACAAACTACAACCACTGCATTGCAGGCTCCTTAAATTGGGACAGGCAAGTACAGATTGAGGCAGAGTTAAACTAGTTTGCTGGCGCCAAACCCTTCCCCTATCCCTCTAACCTGGGAGAGTGGTGAAGCAATACAACATAAGATCAAACTATAAAAATCAGTTGAAAAGGACTTAACTCATCAGATCGATACAAAGCAGAAAAACATCTAACAAAATCACAGACCGGACGTGGCAGGGTATTTATACATCCCCATAACAAAAAAAGACACTAAGTACAGATCTGAGAGTACTAGCAGTTACTAACAGCTAGTTCAAAAACCAATATCAAGTAATTAAAAAAAATATGCATCTAAAATATCAATCAGTACACATCCAACATCCAATGGATTTAGTGTAAAGGCGTCATTAACAGTCAGAGAAAAACATGACCTTGTGCAATGCCAAGATACAGGTATCGACAGATTGTAGAGCCATGAATGTGCATATGTATTTAACAATAATATTTAGTTTGATTTTAATTAACGGATAACAAAATCAATATTCATACCAATAAAAACAATATTCAAAGATCTAATAACAGTGTTGAATTGGTAACCTTTTAGAATAAGTTTATTTAAAGGATCGATAAGTTTACCCGGATCGTATCTAAATTTCCTGGCGCGGTAAACAACATCTCCATAAAAATTAGGATGCGCTATCTGAGCTTATTTTATTCAAATAAAAGGTTTTGGAAAATAAAAATTGTTTGCGGGCAATGAATAATTCTGAAATGTACATAAAGTTTTGGTAAACCGTATGCAAGGTACACCAGCAATAACAAGGTTTAAATTTTAGGTGAAATACATTTGAGATGCATTTTTTTTAAACAAAGCTTGTAAAATATAGAGATTGCTCAGCTTACATCTTTACTGCGTAGCGTAAGTAAATGTCAAAAGGGATTACATAATATTCAGGGAAAAGAGGAAAGCTTGAGAAACGAAACTCCTTATGTGGAAGAGACAGATGATAGATTTAATAGCTATTTGTTGTCAAATACACGTGTTTAATAATGCCCCAAATCTCTTTTCATTTAT